CGATTCTTTGGTTGGTTGTAGTGGGGTCGGCTCGGCTAGAGGTTCCCGTCCCGGGAGTCGCAGGGCCTGGCCCGTGGTCGAGGTGGCCATGCAAGTAGATTTCCCATATGTCTTGGCTCTTCCTCTCCTCATAAGTCGGATGTTGCTTCGCTAGTTTTTTCTTCTGTTTACTTTTTGCTTCGCGTTTGTGGTGGTGGCTTGTCGAGTGGGTTGTGGCGTCGTCGGGAAATTGAGGTGCGCTGTCCCCAAAGCGCGCGCTTCAACGTCGTCCCGAGTGCCATTTCTCCTTAGTGGAGAGGGTGGTGGGGCCGTCGGGCTGTTCGCTGTCACCGCACGGGTCGATCGGCATCGGTCCTCAAGCTGGATGCTAGTGTCGCGATTGCCCTTGGGCGCGTTACGTGTGGTGGCCGTTTGGATTCGACCACAGACTCTGCGTGCGGCATGGTGGTTGGACATCCAGTCTTACTCAGTGGTTTGGCGACGTTGAGTCGTCAGACCCGCCGTGGTTGTCGATTGGTATCGGCTGTCGATCTGTCGGGTGGATGAATCCGCCTCTTGCATCGTGTATGCGCACCTTGCGCGTTGGTCGTTCGCGCGGGCTGCTGCTTCTGAGAGCTGACTTGGTTGTCGTCGGCGGGGATGACTGTGCCCTGCCGGGGGCGCCGAGATGAAAGCGCGGTGGAGGCTCGATGGGCTACAGGGGAATTGTCGGTGTGATGCTGTCGATGGTGGTCCGTCGTGGTGTTGTCGGTGCTTCGCTCTCTTCGTCTTGGCTGATGTCTATCAATATGGTCGTGGTGGGCTGGCGATTTCGGTTGGATGTCATCTTCATTGTTCTCGGGTGGTGCCTGTAGTGCTCGTGCTGGTGGGGATCTGGGTTGCCTTGGGTCCAAGTCTGGGGTTGGTTGCTCGGCAGGTGGCGTCGGGCTTGCTGGTGGCGTAGGGGTCAGCATTGCATCCGCGTCGTCTATGTTGTCTCTCAGGTCGTCGTCGTGGTCGATGTTTGGTATGGGCGTCCTCCAACTGTCGCTGGTTCGTGGCGTGTCGAGGCTGATAAGTGCTTTTTCTGGGTGCGATGTGGGTGGAGTTGGTGTGCAATATGCTGATGCTGGGTCGGCTGGTGGTGGAAGTGGCGGGGCCTGTTCTGCTGGTGGTCGTGGTGCGAAGCCGAACTCACTGATGCTGAAGTCGCTGTCTGCTGTGCTGCTCGTTGAGCCTGCGTTCTTGTTCTCGCTGTCGGCCATGCTTCTCCATTCCTCTCTGCGCGGGCTGATGTCGGAGCCTGGCCGGGTGAATTCGCACGGCATGATGGAGTGCGCCGCGCTATCCATTTCCTCGTCGATTATCTGCTGTCGATATTGCCAGATATTGCCGTCGCGTGTTTTTCTTCTGTGCCCCTGTCGATCTCGAGCTCCATTTCGCCGATGATCTCCGCTTCCATTTCCTCGTTCTTGAGCAGCCCCTGTCTTAGCGCCTGTTCGAGAGCTCGGTGTTGGTAGTCATGTTGTACGCTTTCCTCCGCGATGGTGGCCTATTGTTGACGTACTTCTTCGTGAAATCGCAACCTGAGCTCATGTGCTTGAAGTTGCTGTCGTTGTTCATGTTGTAGTGTTTCTCCCTGTGTGCGATCATGGTAAGCTTTGCGCTTCTCTTCATGCTTGTCGTGATGTCGCTTCGCAGCATGCTCCTCATTGCTGACGTATTTCTGCGATTGTTGTACCAGCTCCTGCCAAGTAGTCTGCTCGTTTCTTAGCCACTCTTGTGATTGGTGGTGTGCTCGCTCATGCTCCTGGTGTAGCACGCGTTCATAATCTGCCACCTTGTGGATTGACTCCCACGTTGCGGTCTGGGCGTCCTGCACGTTGACCTTCTCGCGGTTGAGACGGTCTTCTGCTTGGACTATCTGTCGTCGTAGTTGGTGTTGTTCATGCTGCAATTGTTCGTGCTGCTGATGAAAGGCTCGTTGGAATTGAAGCTGTTCTTCGCGTCTTGCTTGTATAGCCTTCCCCTTCAGGTCGTGTTCTCTGGCGATCTTGGATTGCATCTCCCCGAAGTGGATGAGCGCCTCCTCCTGCAGCTTTGCCTTGTTGTGCGCCTGTTCCTCTTTGTGGAGTTCACGTTGTTTCTCGAGCTTCTCCGTGTACTCATTCTGTAACTTCCCGGCCATGTCCGCGAGTTGCCGTTCGTGTTGTCTCTCATCCGAAATATGTTGCTTGATGCGTTGCTCTTCTTCGTTCTGTTTCCGCCTGGCCTCGACGGCAGCAGCTTCCGCTTCCTCGATATCTTGCCTTGCCTTGGAGTGTTATTTCATGCTCTGCCGTTCGAAGTACTCCTCTTGCCTCTTCAGGGCCTTCGTCGTGCTGTCTAGAGTCTTTGCGGCCGTCTCCGTCTTTAGCTCCCTGTACTCGTGTTTCATGCGCTGGATCTCTTCGTTGTCCTTCTGGCTGCGCTGCTCGCCCTTACGGAGGTTGGCGTTGCGCTCGCTGTAGAAGAAGTAGAGGTGGTGCTGGTGTTGAACGTACTCTTCTTGCTGCAGGTCCAGACGCTCGTTGAGTTATTCGGTCATCTTTGTCACGTTGTGCCCATCGTCGGCTTGGGCGCGTTGTGGTTTCTGTCCTTGTCGCCGTGGATGTGGCGTCCTCTCGCGCGTCTTCTTGTCGCCCCTGCCTTCGCCCGATGTATCTCTTCCGTCTCTTTCACAGCTTGAGCTTTCAGCTCTTGCTTCTAGTCGTTCATGTATACCTCGCTGACCTTTCGCCTCCGTGATGAGCGCCTTGATCTTGATTGCGTCAGCGTCGGCCTTTCCCATTTGCTCTTTCCACTTTTTGACACTTTCTGCAATTGCTCTCCTCCCTTTGTTGACTACGTCCAGATACTCTGTGTAAAGCTTGATCCTCTCATTCGGCTCGATGGTGAGGTTGATCATGCATTTTGTGATTTCCAGTTCATCAATGAGTCGTCCTGCGTCCACTCCTGCGTGACGTGCTCCTGCGAGCTGGTTTGCAAGCCGCCTGGGTCGCGCCGCCTTGGTGCGCTTCCACATGCGGCGGATCTCCGTCTCGTCAGGAGAGTCGGAGAAGGCCCCGTGATTGGCCGCCCTCACCTCCGTGCTCGGGATGAACTCGTCGATGATATCCTGTTGCTTCTTCGTGTAGACGAAGCCCTGCATCTGAATCGCCTGTGTCGTATCTGGCTGGTTACTTCCGCTGGGGTCGTGGCGTCTTCTGGATGCAGATCAGTTTTTCTTCTTCTGGTCGTAGTTATTCTGGTAGGTGTTGCACGGGTTCTGGCTGTTATTGTTGTGCTGGCTGTGCCAGTGTGGAGCCTTCGCTGACGATCTTCCGCGCGATGGTCTTCTCCACGGCCATGGCTGAGCTCCGACTGGCGGTCCCAGTGTCATCGTGCTGTCGGTCTGGCCATTGACGGAACCTGCCCAGCGACCCTTCTGCGCCATCTCGTCCTGCTGGTAGCGCTGGAGCTGCTGGTTGCGCTGGTGCTGCTGGTTGCGCGGGTGCTGCTGCGCCGGGTGATGGTTCGCCAGCGGCTCCTTGGCTTGGAACAACCTCAGCAGCAACCGAGCGTTGCCGCGCTTGTCCCGCTCTCGCCGATGCGCAGCTCCCTCTGGAGCTCCGCCTCGGCCCTGTCGCGGCGTCCCGCCGCGGGGGTGGGCGCTGCGCGGCCGCTGGCGCCGCTGTCTGCGGCAGGGGGCAGGGAGGCACGGATGGCCCCCTGCCGCTCATGATGGCGCGCGGCACGCGTGAGCCCGGCTTCGCGGGCTGGCCGATGCACGATGCGCCCTGCCACCGCGATCGGTCGGGCGGCAGGCGCGACCGACCCCGATGGATCGATCGGGCTTCGCGGGCCCGCCAGAGGCCAAATGGGCTTGCACCTGGGACTGTAATTCGGCGTAGGTGTCGCTGCTTTATTTTGCATCCGAATGTCATAGTAATGCCTGCGGAACTATCTGTATATTGGCCAGGGCACCGACCTCCTTCCACCTGCCATCGTTTGCCAAGTCGTCGCTGCTGTACCCGAAGTTGGGCACGTTGTGTCGTGCCAACAAGTGTGGCGCAATCGAAATTCTCACACGCCAAGATGATATCTTCCTGTCTGTCACGGCGCGAGGATGAGAGAGGGTTGTAGTGTCCGCATCGCCATACATGTGATAGTAACTGTGGCGGCGTCGGTGCTCCTCCCATCTCTCTCGAGTATCTCTCCAGTTTGAGTTGAAGGCATACTCCCGCGGCCATCATGGCCACCAGCAGCCTGTGTTGTGACATCAGACCTGACAGGTCATGGAGAAAAAACATGCTGTGAGGCCAATGGCCGCCCTGAGATTGCTTAAGCTAAGGCGGCGGCTATGAAGGGGGAACTTGGAGGGAGGGTTGATTGCAATATCGTTGATTCTCTTGGGTTACCTTGCCCCGGTCCTCCTCCTCCTCCTCCTCCTCCTTCTCCTCTCTCCTCCACGTTGTCATCCACCTCATTTTCCTCCTGCTCCTCCTCCCTTCTGTCTCCTTCTTCTCTTCCTCCTCCTCCTCCCCCTTCGTCCTCCTCCTCCTCCTCCTGGATCGGAGACTCGGGCCGCACCTGGGGAACGGGGGCTGAGTAAAGCGGGGATGCGAAAGCTGCCGCGTGCATCTGGTGTCGGCGCCGCCGCCGCCGGGCGCTGTCGTCGATGCACTGCGCCTCTGGCGCCCGGAGGCGCAATTTGAGTTTGTTACGTGAGCCGATTCGCTCAACCTCCTTTACCACGCTCCCCCTTTTGTCCGGCCCGAGATGGCGCCCTCCCAGGCATGCGGAGGCTCGAGACCATCCAGGCAGCCAGATTTTCGCAGCGTTGGGCCTTGGGAGGCCAGTTTCCGCGCCCTGGGTCGATGAGAAGGGGCTCGAGATACACAAGTGGTTCCTGGGAAGGGGTCTCGAGATCAGGAGTCGCCGTATGTCAGGGTCCTCTTTTGTACCCATCCTATCGCCTCCTCAGCCCACGTGTGCATGAGGACCATGAAGACGAAGCCATCCTACCGCATTGGCAGGAAGTCCCAGCGCGGAAGCCTGATCAAGGAGGTGGGCCATGCGGGAGACTGGCTGGGCAGGCGTCGTCGAGAGGGGCAGGGGTAGGCTGGTTGGAGAGGATGTGGGGCATGTGTCAAACGGGGGGGGGGGGTGGAAGGGTTGGGTGGATGGTGGATCACAGCAGCCTATAGCAGCCTTGGTATCGAGCTCCATGGTAGGTGTTGTGTGCCCCGAGCGGAAAACCGTGGTGCCTTTTTGCCGGAGGAAAGAGGAGGCAGGGGGGAAGGGCGGGCCATCCCTCCCCCTGCCTGGTCTGGACTCTCGGGCCTGTCCCTTCTTGCCTGGATGCTTGCGCAGGGGGCCCCGCTCGAGGGCCGTCTGGCAGAAGGCACGCTGAGACCTGGCAACTGATAGTCGCAAGGAGGCTGCTGAGGTTGCGCAGCTTCCTGAAGCGCCTGAGTCACGGGCGCGAGGAGAGAGGGAGAACGTTGGATGGGCGATGTGGAGGACTGCGAGGGAGGGGATATGTGTATACACATATATGTACATCTATACACATATTCCAAGCTGTATATCTATACACAAGACTGCAGGTCAACATACATACATACATACATCCATACATCCATACATCCATACATCCATGCATACATACATACATACATACAGACATATGTATATACATCTGCATAAATATGTATGCAAGACTGCACTGGCGCTTCGCGCCATGCACCTTGGTCATTGAAGTTGTGCATGCAGGCGGAAGGGCAGGAAGGTAAACCAAACAAGTTTGCGGTCAGGCCTTTTTTCCTTGTGTAGCATCACCGTTATAATAGTGTTATTCATCATTCTTCCCTCATGTTTCCTCTTCCTCTTCCTCTTCCCCCTAATGGCCCTACCCTGCGAATTCTTCCCTAGTTTATTCTGCGGAGGCTCCTTCTTGGAGAGTCTGTTTGGGGCAGTCTTGAAGGACTTCTTGTGTCCTCCTGGAGGCCTCCTGGGCGCCTTCTGGGAACCTCTGGGGGCTTCCTCGGGCCATCCTGCTTCCAACTGCGGTCTCCCTGAACGACCCGGCTACGATATGGAATGCTTCCAGGGGTGCCTTGGGACCATCTTGGGCATTCATGGGACTCTCTTCGGGCATCTTGGAACTTGGTTATGCCGTATCTGGGCTCTCCTAGACTGATTGGAGGCCCTTTCGGATAGGTGATTCTCAAGCCTTCTGGGCGGTCTCGGACGCCTGGAAGACCGCAGACCAGAGCATTCCCCAAATCATTCAAGAACCATTGCAACCATTGAACATCAACGTCTTTCTGCGTTTCGAAAGCGTCGTGGAGTTTTTCTTTGGACTTCTTCAGGCGTCTGCTGGATGTCTGGGGCCTCTTGGGGTCCTCGGGGGGCCGTTCGGCTGCCCTCCTGACCGATTGGGGCCCGCTGCCCAGTCCAGGCAGCGGCTTCCAGGAGTTCCGGACAGCTTGGGGGGCCTACTGCAGGGGCGTCCAGGGGGCTCCCGGGGCCACGGATCGGGGGGTCCAGCTTTGTTGGGGGGAAGGGATAGGGATTCCTTCCCTTTGGCTTGTAGAAGTAGAGGAAGAGGAGGGAGGATCTCTTTCCCTCGCTATATGTATATATATATATATATACACGCATATATATATATATATTATATATATATATAATATATATATATATATATATATATATATATATATATTCCTATTCTCATATTTTTATTACGCGGACCCCCCCCTAAACCGGATCCCCCCCCCAGGGACGCCCTAGACACCCTTTCGGACGTTTCAGCGGCCCCCTGGACGCCCTTGGAAAAGGTCCGCGGGCCCTTCCGGGCCTCCCAGGGCGCCTTGCCGGGCCTTGCGAGCAGACTCAAGGCGATCAGAGGGGTCATCGGAGAGGCGCAAGAGAGACCCAAGACAGCACCAGAGCGCTCCAAGAGGAACCTCGATGGTCTGAAGACGGCCCAAGAGGTCCCCAAGACGCCCCAAGAGGCTGTTAAGAGAGCCCCGACGAAGCAAACATCGTCCCATTCCTTCGGGAAAATGTATAAGGTTAACATATCCGCTGTTTGGAATTTCGTAGCGTCCAAAGCGGCCCGATAGGCCCCCGATATCGCCCCAAGACGGCCCAAGAGGCCTCCCAGAGGCTTTGAAGACTGCCCAAGAGGGCCCCAAGGCTGCCCCAGAGAGCCCCGAGACTGCCCGCAAAAAGCCCAAGATGCACCCAGAAGGCTCCCAAGAGAGACCCACGAAAGCCATGGGAGACCCCCAAAAAGGCCACTGGAGGCCCCCAAGAGGGCCCCCAATGGCTTCAGAAGACCTCTGGAGGGCCCCAGCTCCCCAAGACGGCCCAACAAGGCCCCAGGACAGCCCAAGAGGGCCCCAGGACGGCCCCCCAGAAAACCCAAAACGCCCAGACGGCGTGTTCCTACGAAGTACACTGAGCTGGCCCGGCGATTTTGGATCCACGCTTGAGGCTCGAGGTTTCATTTCCTCCATCGAGAGAGACAGGCAATTATCTAGATTCGAAGTTCGCCGATCGAAGATTCCCTGACTGAATGGAGCCTTCCAGGCATTCAGGAAGCTACAGAACATCGATTTGTTCGGTGCTACTGCGACTTCTTCGGCGTGTCATGGGAACGCTCCTTACTTCCTCAAAGGACCATCGCGCGCACAAAAATCATCATTCCCCCAGCTCCTGCGCACAAGCGTGCAAGCGCATCGGGCGAACGCGGTGTCAGCAGGCACGTGGGATATCAGAAAAATGAGCCAGTCGCCCGTCCAGGCTTCGAGGGTCCCCCGCTGAAGCAAACGATAATTTATTGCTTTGCCGGGGACGGTCCGGAACAAAGCGCATGGCGCGAAACACCAATGCAGTCTTGTATATATATATAGATACATAGATATAGATATAGAGGTATCAGGAACCTTCGGCTCCAGATTTGAGAACCATTAAATATAGATGTCACTTGTCTGTTCGTTAATTACTGTTGCGCGCGACTCCAATGCTTGAACCAATCTGATTCATACGATCCAGATCTTCATCTTCCGAACAGACTTGTATTCCGCATTCGAAATCGAAGCGTATTCAGTATGCCGTAAGGATCGGTCTTTCATATGCCGAGACCGAATCGAATGTCATTGGCCGAACCGATATGCACTTGGCTTCTTCCGAAATTATTGAGGTCCTGATGCCCATGATTGTCTCCTGTGCGCCTCATCCTCTCACGCCTGCTCTCCGATGTGCGTTTCGCGCTGTCTTTTTCCCGGTTTCGGAACAATGTGTTTTTCGTGGTTACCGTAGAGTATAGCGACGGATGATCTCATGCGTTATTTCTTCGAGGGTGTGGTTTTCAGGTCTCATGAATCGGTTTAAAGAACATCGAATTACCATCAAAAGTTCCGCGGAGTTCATGCTGTCGGCAGGTCTCCCGGAGGTTCCACGATCGATCGGCCTCCCAGAGGTTCCTTGCCCGTGCGTCACAGCCGATTCGTGGCGGCTCTGCGGCGGCATGAAGCGCAAGGATGTAATTGGTTTTGATTGTGTCCCGTCTAAAGCAGCTAACTGCTGCGTGGCTATCTGAAACCAAGTCACGGATTTTATGGCACGTGCCGGTGGGGCACGGGCACAGAACACATGATGTGTATATCAATCATCGATGTCAGCTTCTCCACCCCACTCCATAATATAGGGTGTTGTTGTGACGTTGGGTCAAACAGTGCCCCGCGTAACTATTCACGTGAGATGGTTCTGCAGATCGTGAGATGCGCCGAGTTCGCATAACGATGATCTTTCGATCCGTAACGACTGCGGCTCGTAGATCGTTGCAACATTTTTTAAAATAAAAGTCATTTGCATGTGTACCTTCGGTTTGCTCCGTTGGAGTGGGTACACTCGTTGTAATGATATTATCCATGGCGTATCTCTCGTTTGCGCGCGGCGTGATCCTACGGCGCTGCCCACCCGCCGACGACGCGCGTCTTGAACTCCAGTCGGTCGAGAGCTTCAACGACGCCCACTTCGGTGGCGGTTAGCCTCCGGCCGAACCGATTCCACGGGCACCAAGTTTTACAGGTTGTGGAACTTGCAGACATGATTGCCGATCAGCCAGGCAATGGTGAGTCCCAGATGCAACCGCAAGTGCGAGGTCCAAAAAGACGCGGCCCCCGCAGTCATGATGAGTACACTGCGTGACAGCTGACAAGGTATTGGCTTATCTAAGCGACCAGGAGGTCCCTTTTGCGCTTCGCCTTAATGCCTGCCAGATTCACGATCAAAGATCACGGGGCAAAGGCGCGCGGCGCTGATGTCAAACAGATGGCATGTGATATTCGCGCAGTTATTTATTCATTGTGTTGTTCTAATCTTGTTTTTCTTTTTCTTTTTTTCGAACGCGATTGCGATGCGCATCGACGCAATGATCGTCGGCACAGAATGATTTCGCATCTCGCTTGCCGCCCCGAAGATCGAGGGAATTCGGCTCCCAATATCAAGTTTCGCGTTCTTGATGGATGATGCATTCGAGATGAATCAGAACGGATTTTATTCATCATGGGCACTGGATATTATCGAACGCGCTCGCAGATTGATGGCGCATTTTGTCGGCCTGAATTACCGAACGCAGCGGCGTCGCTGAAACGCTGTATCAAGTTTGCGACGCTGCGAGCCGCAATATAAGCGCCCGTCTCTACGGCTGCCCATCTCAGCTTCTTTCGAAACCTCGGCAAGGATGGCGCCGTTGGCCGAGGAGAAGGTGGGGCGCGGAAGACGACGTAGACGGGCGCGTTCCCGACGCAGCAACGAGCCGGGCTTGACGATTGGATTTCGTAACGGCTCTGGAATATGACCGGGGACACGGACATGCAGAAACGCATCTCGCATAACCATGTCTTATGTTGTTGCCAACCGGAGAGGTGGCCCACTGCGCCCACGCCATGTCGAAGCGCAAATTTAGTTTGGCTTGGGGCGCCAGGCTCGATCAGACTTGCGCGCTGTTCTTGGCGCGGACACCTAAGTCGACCCACGAGGGAGCAGCG